ATATATATTATGTGATTATAAAAGGGGTATTTTCTTATTTAAAAAATCAGAACTGAACTATAATGTGACTAAAGAAGAGGAGTGATTACATAGGAGGTGACTATAGAGGGGGTCGACTCTATATATTTACTTAGCATAGACCACCCGAAAAGTTGAATTCCATTCTCTCTTACTACTTTACGGTAGAATGAGTACAGGTCATCTGATGCAGTTTTGTAATTATTATCTTGAATGGCTTTCATGGCTGTCTTTCTTTTACCAGTGCCACTTGTATAAATTCATAAATATGTCTTTTTTTCTGTATGATAACCACGGAAAGATAAAGCTCTAATATGCTTTATTTTTATTGTCTCCACCTTACTACTAGAGAGAATATCTTTTACTTTTATTTCACATTCATCCGAAGATTCCTTGTCTGGTACAAGAATGTCAAAGAATACCGGAATACCAGAAAGTGTTACCACCACCTTTTAGCCATTAATAAGAGAGCCGTAAAGACATAATACATAGCGATGCTTTCCATTTATTTTTTCCGATAACCCTTCATTATCAATGGCCATAAATGGAATTTCTTGATGACTGGATAGAGCATCATCAAGAATTGCGGTTAATCCCTCATCATTTTTCGCAACTATATCATTTTGAGTTGAAATGCCATTTAAGTAGTTTTCACCAGAATAGTGAATTACTTGGGCTTTCCTTTTATCTTTTTCAGCCTCTGGGTGAAAAGGAGCGGGGCGTCGAGGAACTCTGAAAGCTCGGTTTGGGTTATAGTAAAAATTTTCAGATATGTTATCTAGTATACTGTTTCGGTATAATACCTAACAAAAAAGTTTAAAATAAAAAATAAATATTATTATAGATATCAAAGTGTTATCCAATAATAATATCAATGGGCGGTAAATACATTTGCCAGTATCTTTTAGATAAAGCTTCGCATGAGCCGGCTCGAGCCGGCTCACCATCGGCTCGAGTTGAGCCAAATTATTTCAGCTCACGAGCCGGCTCGGCTCGAGTCCAAAATGTGGCAAGCCGAGCCGGCTCGCGAGCCAAACAAGCCGGCTCATAT